TAAGGAAAATCTACTTAAAATTGACAGAATTTCTTAGGGGAAATACCATAAAAATCACTTTTGCTAAAATCGGCAAGCGTAGCCCTAGAAAAGTCCATTTGGGTTTTTGTTTCTTTTAAAACTAAGTTACAAAAAAAAAATCTAAGTTACCATTATTTATTTATATATACATAGAAATAATATTTATTTCAATAACAAATATTTATTAATATCTATATAATATATATTATATATTACATCAATATATTGAAATAATTACCCATTATATAAAAATAATCACCCACTATATATATAATTTTATATATAATTACCCATTTTATATATATATTACCCAATTTATATATATAATTACCCATTTATAGATAGATGATTGATATATATGGATCAACTTGAACATACTTGATGAAAATATAAATGGATCACTCAAGTTCTACTTAATGTGTAATTCATTTTCCCCTAATTCAGTAAAGACAATCTAGAATTCTTCTGATAGTGGACTTGCAGAAAGTAATTTTTGAGTTTTCTTTGAATGACAATTTAATGGAATTGCTCTGGGTACATTCCTTCAAAAATCCTAAAACAATTTAGATTAAGTACTGTTCGACCCAGTAAGTATCAATTAATGATAAAGCTTAAAAAAAGATCCAACAAAAAGTGATATTTCTAAAGAATTGGAAAAAACTAAAAAAAAAAAAACCTCTAGTCACTTCCTCTAGTTTAATGCTTTTAGCTGAATATCAAATCAGAGGAGATAAAATTACTGAGTGTATAGTAACAAGTATGAAAAGGACTAAAATAAAAAAAAATAGGCACTGCCCATAGAATATGGCAAGTACTGTTTCCTGAACATTTTTGTTTTATACATTAAAATTCTATACATTAAAAACGTAATATTTAATTTTGTCAATAATATATACTGATATACACACATACATATTATCACACATTTGTATGTAGCTGTTCGACTACAATGTGAAACATATTTTAGTATGGATTAGGTTAAAAGAATCTTTGGAAGCCACTGCTATAAATGAATATCCTAACCCTTTCTTTCCTTTACTTTCTTCTTCCCGCCCCTCTCTTCCGGTTCTTCCCTTCCCACCTCAGTCCCTTACACTTTTCTATTTTATTGGATGGGGTTTCACTGTGCAGGTTAGGCTGGCCTTGAAATCTTCTCAGTGATCCTCCTGCTTCAACCTTCTGAATGCACCATGCCTGACTACTTTCTAAATCTTTGAAATTCATATGCTTTATAGTACTTTATCTTACCGTTTGTATAAGCTTAGTAGCTAAACATCGGACATGACATGTTAAATATATCACTGAAACCTAAATTGAGAAGTTTAGCTTATTGTGTTATGAATTGCTGATTTAATTTTCTATACATATAACTTGTACAATAAAAAATGTAATGCTGAAAATCAGTTATATACTAAATACAATTTGTTTGAACACAGCAAGTAACAAGTAAAACAGGTTTCTTCACAGTCAAACGAACTGTTACAATTTTCATGCAGAAAGCTCAAGAACATTACTAGGAAGAGATCCCTTAGGGTATTCATTTGGAATTCATTTTAAAAATACATGCAATTCAAATAAATTCAGTTGTCAGTTTCTAAGACCACAGGAGATGAGAAATATATCATTACAGGAGAAGAAAATTGCTGCTATGCCAATGCTGCTAGTATAAAAGAAATGAGAAGTGACAGCCAAGGACAGGGTCTAGGGTAGGAAAACAGAAGAATTATATATAGAAATTATAACTACATAGTGCTCTGGGACCTTTCAGCAAGAGAAATGCTTGGGTACAGAAACAGTATTTAAAGCTCTGTCTAATTATCTTCAGAGGAGCAAAGGTGAATGAATGATAATAAAAGTAACAGCTACATACATAAAGCATTGCAACAATCACTTTGCTTTTAAAAGTTCATGCTTTAATCACCACACCACACTGTTTCTCAATAAAAATTTCAATTATGTTTTGGGATTAAATTCAAGAAAATATTTCAGAAAATAAAAATATGACTTTACAAAGACTTTCTACTATAGGATGTTTCTCCAAAATTCAGAAGTTGCAACCTAATGCTCAGTGGACAGTACCTGGCAGTGGAACCTTAGGAAGCGAATTCTGGGTCTCATGAAAGCAGAGCCTTGTGCATGGGATTAACTGTATTATACAAGACTGGGCAAGTAGAGCACGATGGAAGCAGAGTAAGGCTGCCCAGTGACTGTCTCCTCAGAAAAATATCCGTTTGAATTGAAATTACCTTCGTAAGAGCTGAAGAACCCAGGTAAGAGATCACAATACTTGGTTGTAGCAAAATTAGAAAAAAAGCACTGAAGAAAGCAAGAAGGAAGGAGGTGTCCACATCACAACTGCCCCAACCACAACCATCACAGCATTTACAGACACACTCCTCCTGCTTGGAGAGAAGGAAGAATTAAGTGTCAGCCTCAGACTTGGAACTCAGTAACAGGATGACCAGAGGGAAACTCAGTATTGGGCAAAGCACTCTGGTCCTAGGCTCCAGAGCAGTGTCCTTGGATGTAGCATCTAAGTGTTGCTAGCATGGGGCCAGGGAACTGCTCCTACCATGCTTTTCCCAACCTTGTACAGCACAGCCTGGCAAAAGACTCCCTTTGCTGGACAACAGGATAGGGAAAGCACAGGTCTTTACTTTGAGTTCAGTGCTCAGCCAATGAAATTCACTAGTGGATCACAAGGCCCCTACCCCTAGAACAGGGCCAACAAACAGAAAGCCTCTGGACCTCCTCCTGTAACAAGTGGAGACCCAGCGCTTGAGCTGAAGAGAACTGTGTTCCAGCCGTCATCCACTGCAACTGTTTACAGCCGTCTCAGGCCTTACATGTACCTGTGCAGCAGGCAGGCCATAGCAGCGTGGCCTTTATCCTGCCTCCGTGCTGCACTGCTCTCAGCAGGCTGTGGGCTCTGAATGCAATCTAGCCTTGTAGTATTTGTGCAGAAGACTGGTCATCTCATCTTTCCCCCAAACCAGCCATCACGGCACAAAGAATCACTGGCCACTGGGGGAAAGAGGAGGGAGAGGGGCACCAAGTTGTTGCTTAAGAATTTACAGCTGTTCATTGCAAGTGCCACACAGAATCCTGCCACTGTCAGTCACTCACACAGGGCAGTGACCATGGGAGAAGCATTTGGGTTGACTTTGGTCATAGGCTGACTTTGGACATAGTTGCAGGGATGAACTAACCTTTTTAGGCACTCTCCCTGCGCACTCTGAACAATACATCAATTTCAGATTTGATATAAAGGTGGGCATGGGCTTCCCCTACAGCAGAAATAGTGACAACATATCAACGGAGGAATTATGGTAAACTTGGACTTAGGGTGCCATCTAGGGGTGAAACAGCACCAGAGACCACAGACCCAGGGAAAAGCAGTCTGCTTAGAAGTACCAGAATGACAGACACATATATACTCAAAACGCAGATTACCCAAATTTGATACCTAATCTATGAATATGCATGTGTCAGGAATGCCAACAGACATCACAATTCTCAGAGTCCGTTGAACTCCTCACAAGGGGAAAAAAGAGATGCAGAAACCAAGCAACCAATATATGAACTCTCAAATACAGAATTTAAAATGTTTCAGGAAAACATAAGGAAATAAAGTGCAGAGAAACAATACAGATCTTTAACAAAGAAACTTACAGAAACTTAAGTAGTTTAAAAAGCAAACAAATTCTTGAGTTGAACAGTATGAGATAAAAATCTTATGGTGTGATACTTTCTTCTTGATCTATTTTGCTATTGATACCTTGTGGTAGAAGCTATCACAAGGTATCAATAGCAAAATAGATAAATAAATTCTACCACAAGGTATCAATAGCAAAATAGATCAAGAAGAAAGTATCACGCCATAAGATTTTTCAAAGTGCTGAAGGAAAGAAAAGAAACACTACAAAATTCAAAATAAAAAACAAAATAACAAACAAAAAACTCCTGCAAAAAAAGAATCTGCCCTTTAGAAACAGAAGAGATGGCTGGGGATGTAGCTCACTGATAAAGGTGCTTGCCCAGTGACCATGATCTCCCAACTCCCCTAAAGGAATAAGGAAACATTGTGACATGTCCCAGAAAACAAATGCGTAACTTCTAAAATGCGTAACGTTCCAGTGTACTATTTGAATATAAGGAAAAAGCTGAAAAAAAAAAAAAACCAGAACTGCAATCCTGAAACATAATCAATCAGATTATTTTCTTGTTAAAAAGGGGCAATGGCATTGCAGATAGAGAGGAAAAGCAGGGAGACAAGTAGTCGGGCATAAAAAAGCTAGCACAGGGAATCACAAGTGCTTCTGTACAGCCAAGTATAAAGCTGGGGGCTGGCAGGAGCCATGGAAGATAGACTTTGGATAGACTGTCTGATGCTCTACTAAAAAATCTAATTATTAAGTTGAAAGCACAGAAGCATTAGTTCCTGAACTCATCATTGGTCTGGATATCTTTTTAAAGTAAAATCAAAATAACTTTTATGTTCTCTATTCAAAATGTGTGACTTCTCTAATACAGTATTTTTTTAACTCATGGTACACAATAATAATACAGTAGCCCTTTTTATTTAATGATGAAAAGTTTCCATATATTTGTGTTGGTAAACAGTATTTCTAAAATATGGCTGAATATACAATTTCTAGTGATATTTGCTTTTTCAAGAAATAATGAAGAGAAAATATATTTTCTTCTGGCCTCCCTGGTAGTACTTGTACTTTCATTATGGTTCAGGAAGGGCTAAGGAGGAGAGAGGTTTAAACACTCCTAGTCCATTTCATTCTACTATAGCTCAGAAATTCTGGCACACGTCATTTTTCGTTTATGCTGCTTACTGTTTTATTCTATTTCCAATTGAGGAAAACATACAGAATTTATTGTTTGGAAAGCTTTTTAACATAGTACTCAATTTTCTAGTGCTGTTGGAGAGTCCAAGAAACATTATCATTAACTTTTAAAAAGCATACCTAGGAGTGCCGTGAGTTTTGGAAGAAGTCCCACTTGTACCATCTTATTCCTCAGTCCTGTGTCAAAGGACAGGTTTAGCAAAAGCCGGAGAGTGATATTTAACAAATCTTCATGCTCGCATGGTACCAGTTTTACCAGTTTTTCAACAATATCCATTTCCACCTATATAAAATTAAAAAATGCAGTGAGGTTTTTATTATAAAATACAGCAAAGACTGAAAATCATTGTTTGTTTTTACACCAATGTATATTTTAAAGATAATTGTGTTCATCCCATTTCAATCTATAAATTTTCCTGAAACCATACTTTTGAGGAGAAAACATTTGCAACAACCTAATTGTAAATTGTCTCTTCCTTCACTCATTTGATTATATCAACTGGAAGACAAATCACATCTGATCCTTGAAAATACTGATTATTGAACACTATCCACAATATAACAGGCCTAGATAGAACATCTCAAACTGGTTTCAAGGATTTCTGTCTAAAAAGTGGACAAATAAAATAATGGAAAGATGATAAAAACTGAATACACAAAGTACTTTGGAAGCAATATGGAACAAGCTACTAATCTATCTAGAAGAAAAGGCTATTATGAACAGTGTCAACAAAGAGGAAGACACTGTATTTTGATTAAGAATTGCAGAGGTAGGGCCAGGGATATGGCTCAGCAGCACAATGCCTGCCTGTAAATGCAAGGTCCCAAATTCGATTCCCAGCACAAAAATAAATGAATGAATGAATGAATGAATGAATGGTAGAGGTAATACAGGTTTGAAGAAGCAGACAGTAGATGGGCATTTAGGAATAAGACCCCTGGTGCTCTGGAATGATCACAGGGTAAAGAATATGCTGAAGATTTGAAGATAATTTAAAAGATAGACCTTATATTGAAGGTGAAGTGTTCTGGTAAGAGGTTAGTATCATCTTATAGGTAGCAGAGAGTCCTTAATTTTAAATCCAAGGGATGATACACTCCTAAGCCTGAACAACCCTGAAATCCAAGTTCCTAGATACTAGCTAAGGGCCAACCTCATTAGAAGACCTAATTAAGACTAACACTGGTAAATGGAAAAAACAAGCTTAGGTCACTAAAGGAAAAATTATTTAAACCTTTGTCACGTTTAATGTGCAGTGCTACGCAGTGGCTAAGTGGAAATGACGCAATGTTCTGGAGAGAAGCCGGGCAACAAGTGACTGTCCACACTTTTGAACAGGGACGAGCAGACCATAGCTAGCGGGCCTGATGTGGTCGGCCACCTGTTTTCACAAAGCCCATGAATTAAGAATGACTTTTGGCTTTCATGTTGTTTTTTTTTTTGGGGGGGGGGGCAACACTGGTGATCAATCTAGCGTCTTTATGTGGCAGCTAGGGAAGCTGCCTAGCAAGGTAACTACCACTGATGGTTGAAACAGCAAGGAAGAGTGATATATCATGACACATGAAAATTGTGTGAAATTAAATTTTCCATAAAGTTGTAACACAACAGAGCCATGTTAACGCACAATAGCTGCTTTCATGTTATTATAGCAGAGTTAAGTAGCTGTGTGGTAAAGGCTGTATCACCTGGAAAACCTAAAATATTGACTATTTGGCCATTAAAGAAATGTTTGCTGGTCTCTACCCTCTGCTTTTAAAGATATAAAACTGCATGAAGAGGCAGTGTGTTATAATAACAAATTACAGAAGATACTATCAATTATTAATTTAGTAATGGAAGCCCTACATTCAAATTTTTTATGATAGCAATCAAAAAAAAAAAAAAGTATGGTGACCCATGCCTGTAATCTCAACACTCTAAGACACTAAGCAATATTGTAAGTCTGAGCCTATCCTAGGCAACTGAGCAAGATGATGTCTCAAAATAAAAAGGGTTGGGGTTCAAGCCTCAGTATCTCCAAAACAAAATACAATAGAATAAACAAAACGAAACATCCCCTTATGTTTTTCAGTTATAAACAAATGCTAAATAAAGGGAAATTCTACGTATGATATGTAATTCAAAACTATGGGGAATGTTTAAATTTAAATGTTTGCTGGGCGTAGTAGCTCACACCTGTAATCCCAACACTCAGAAGGCTGAGACAGGAGGATCATTTTGAGTTCAAGACCAGCAAAAAAAAAAAAAAAAAAAAAAAAAAAAAAAAAAAAAAAATTAAATGCTTTGCATTAACCCCCTTCAAAATACTTCCCCTTATTTCAAATATGCTTATCCCATCATTCTTGCCACCTTATTGAGCAGTTCTGGAAGTGTTCTGTGCTTTTAGTTGTGGTGTCAGGGCTGCCTCAACATGCTGAATTGATTCAGAATTTTCTCATTCGTGAAGAACAGAAAATCTTATGAGGCTACCATGGTGATACAGTGGAGGAGGATGCATGATAACGTTTTTAAGAGTCTGCTTTTCCATCGGATCTATTCAGCAGCAGCATTCGTTGTGTATTTTATATTATCTCAGGAAGGACACAAAAGAGGACTTTCAGAGCAACTTTAGAAAGCGGTAAGAGGCACGGGGGAACAGGGAGCATTTTGAAGCAGATTAATGGCAATGTGTATTTTGCTGTAATGTAGTAAGTTTTAAAAATTAAAACACATACCATATTTTCAATACATTTCATAAGTTTATAGTAGTTGGATCATAACAAAAGGGTATCTGAATAATCTTGCTTTATTTGTTTCATTAGGGTTCTAAAACATACTTCATATCTTTATTGTATTCTTTCACTGACGTCATAATGATAAGATTAACAGTTTAGCTCTTGCTTTCCTTTTTCTTTGAATTGCATATTGAAGAATGAATCTAAGTTTTTTAAAAATGCCAGGTGACAAAACCAACCTCTAATTTTCCCCCAGACTTCTATGAACATTTTACGATTACGTGGTAGCCTAACCTTAGAGCTCTTCATTAAGAGTACAAAGCAATCTCCAAAGACTTCTAAAAAACAAACACAAAAACTTATAAGCTAGTTCTAAATGTAAATGGAGAGGTAAAGAAGTATCCACACTAATTTTGAGAAAGACTAATACTGGAGGCTTTATACTGTCCGACATCAAAACTATACAATTCCAGTAATCAAGAGAAAAGGATCTTGTTGAAAGAAAAACTCATAGGTGAATAAAGGTACGTCTAGCCATAAACCATATATATATGGACAACTGATTTTTGACAAAAGTACAAAGGCAATTTCAACAAGATGCAAAGGCAATTCATGGTGAAAGAAGTCTTTTAATAAAAAGTGCTGGAACTGGATTGAAATGGACATCCCTACTCAAGACCACAAATCTCGGTCTACATCTTGGAACATATACAAACTTCACTTAAAATGTAAGGATCACAGACTAAAACAACGACAAGAAAGCCCTAAAAAACCTTGTGAAGAAAACATAGGAAGAAATGGTTGTGAGCTTCCAATAAAGATTTCTAAAATGTCACCAAAAAAAAAAAAAAAAGGTCCATTAAAAGACTTTTATGTCCTAGATTTAAAAATTAAAAACTGTGCTCTTTGTAAGACAAAGAGAATGAAAAGACAAGCCCTGGAAAAGGAAAACAAATACTTGCGAAGCATAAAACTGATAAAAATGTAGAAAAAGTCTTAAAAGTTATTAGTAAGACAATAAGCAAACCACACAACACATATCCTTTTCTTCCTTTTTTTTTCTTTTTTTGGTGCTGGGGATCAAATTCGGGGCCTTATGCAAGAAGGACAAGAACTCTACCACTGAGCCACATGCCCAGTCCCTGTTCTCTTAAGTAATGTTCTCATGACTTATTTTTTTGTATATTACAATAATTTACTATGTGAATATAATCACATTATATAAATATGAGATATGATTCATTTTAAGCCACTAATTGAAAGATATTTCTAGGTATTTTACCCTAAAAACAAGGTCAGTATTAGTTCACATTAACAGCACAAAGAACACTTTCATTAAATAAATAATACAACCTCACAAATAGAACGGTCAGCTCCCTGCCTTAAAAAAATAAATAAAATAAAATAGCCACAGGCTTTAGCTGCTAATTATATTAAGTAATAATTTTCTTTTGAAAAAGCCATAGCATATGTAAACACTTCGTTAGAGAAAAACTTAGTAATAAAATAACTTGAAGAGTTTGTTATTTATGTTCCTACTACTCAGTACAAAATGTGAAGTGTGTATCATTAGTCAATCAACACTGGACTTGTATTTAACAGAACCTACTAGACCTATCTTTTTGGCTGATTAAAAAGAAAAATTCAACCTCAATAGCAAAATTTAGTAATTCTTGCAATGTACAATAATTTTTCCTCTAATTCTACAAAATAGAATTTACCGTTAATTTATAATTAGTATCTTTATTAAGTATTTTATATAAAGTGACAGTTTAGCAATCCTCAGCAAGTTGACTTTAATCTTTAAATGTACCATTCCTTTTCACTGTTTCTAGAAGTTAACATTTAAGAAAAAATTGTTAATCTTGCTAACAATGTGTTAAAATTTAGGTAATCAAATATATCTCATTAATTTGGATGAATAATCTTCAGTTTTTCCTCAAGAAAAATGCTTTGATAAAATGATTTATATCTTCCAAACTCATATAGAAAATAATTTTAATAATAATTGAGTTTTTGACAGAAAGAACAAATAAGTTCAGTGCATTACTTTAACACAAAACTGTGCCTGGTAGTTACATATTGATGGCAAATAAATTTGAATTTTGAGAAACAACTAAAAGTGAAATTAATCAATTACATAAACAGAAGCACATATAGTTCAACTTTTATACAAAGAAAAGCAATTACTTAGCAACATGGTAACTGCTTAGGAATCTATTTATCATCTTGACATAATTATTAGATATAAGGTCAAAGAAAATCAAAAATGTTTTTAATCTCTTTGTACATTCAACCTAAAAACAATTTAAGACATGCTCAATATAAATACTAATGATGAAAATTACATGTTGAATATAGTGAGGTAAAATAAAATTTTTGATACTGAAGAATCAGAATTTAAGCACTTACAAATCTGATAAGATATTCAATACAGCATTAGTTACTTCCTAATTCATTTGACTTAAAACAAGAAAAATAATAGCTGTAAGAACTTTATATTTGACTATTAGTTCACCTGAAAATGAGATCACTTATATCAATACACAGTCACACACAGGTAATACATATAGTTCTAAAAAGAGTCATTGATAGTTAAAGCCCATATATAAATTCTAGGGTTACTCTAAGAAAATATTCAGATGTATGCTCAAAAATATATACTCAAATATGTGTACTAAAGTGCTGCTTATAATAGGTAAAATTACAAAAAACTGATATTTGAAAACACAGTATGGTTCTTATATGATCTATTTAGTGTGCTACTGGACTAACAGAGATGCTTTAGTGATGTGGGAGTAAAACAGATAAGAATATTTCTTTTACCTTTAGAGCTGGGGATGTACTCAGTGGTAGAGTGCTTACCAGCATGCATGAGATCCCTGTGGTTCAATAGCCTACATCACCAAAATAACCACTCCCCTAAAAGGCCTCACATTCTATCTTCATATATTTGTGTATCATGTATATTCTATACAGGAGAAACATTCTATGCCCAACCTGTATTTCTCAAAAGCCATTATATCAACAGAATAGCAAATAGGAGGCTAATGTAATAGTTCAAACAAGGAATGAAGAAATATGAATACAGAGTGCATGAGATAATGAAATGGCACTAAGAATGGAAAGAAGGGATAGTTTCCAGAGATATTTAAGCAGTAGAATCAAAAGGCTATGCTACCAATTGGAGTGACAGGTGACAAGACTGGAATAAACTGTAATTTCATACATTAATATTGGAAACGAAGGTAGCAAACTAGAGAAAAGTAATGGGGTCAGATGACTCGGAAGTGTAATTTTAAGATTAAACTACTTTCTATATATTATATAAGATGGCAAGATCAATTATAAATGATATTTTAGAAGCATTTTTATCCAGAAAGTTTCAATTACCTGAATATTAACTAATGTGGAATATATTCCCTAGTGAAGCCATTTCAGTGAGTTATTGCTATTATAAAATCTTCAGAATTATTGTATGAGTACAAAATGTTTATTTTTTAAATTAAGATATTCTAATAAAAAATGGCTAACATAAATTGTTTCATGAAGGAGCTTTATAAATTACCATATCGTTTTTATTCTCCATAAAAATGCTGAGTTTCTTTAAGAATGTTACAACTAGAATAAGCAGCTCAAAATTGTCCCGATCAAGAGCTTTCACCAACATATGAACTATATTCTTATTCCTCATCTTCAGTTCTGTACGAGTATCTTCAGCCAGATTCAGAAGCAAATAAAGAGCAACTGGAAAAGTAAAACAGGGAAGAGTTACACGACTGGCATACTGAGTCAATAATTTATAAAATTACTTCTTATGTATCAGGACTTCTGTTAAGAAGTAGTTTTAAAAAGATGGTATATGATTTTGAAAAACAATTATTTAGTAATTAATTAGAAAACATTAATATTAAATGATACATAACTATATGTTACATAAAACAAAACATATATACATATATTTTTTTTTCTTTTGAGATAAGGACACGGTAACTAAAATGATTGCAACTCTCCTGCATCTTAGCGCTTCATGGTAATCAAACAGCAGGATACAAGTCAGCAAATGACAGAAGAAAGGAAAATGATTTTATGCACATAGAAATACCACAAAACTTCAAAAACTAGACTGTTGTTTGAAAGAGCTATAATTTAAAATACATAGCACATTTGAGGATAAAAAAATCTATCTTTCATAAACTGATTTTCTGTTAGTCACTATAAGAAAGGTCATTTGAAATTCAGCAATACAATTGTTATATTAAAAAAGTTTAATCTCTATTAGTACTATATAGAATAATGTCATTATCCCCTTCTAAGAATGAAAATTAACAATCAATATTTTCTCTTTCACCTTGATTGATAAGGAGCTTCAGAGTTACATTAAAAAGGTTTTTAAAAATATACATATGTGTGTATATGTACATTTTATATGTGTAACATTTATATATCTATATACTCACACAAATATACACCAGTGATTTAGCTCAGCTGCATAAGCGCCTGCCTTCTAAATGGGAGGTTGTGAGTTTGATCCCCAGTACCAAAAAAAAAAAAAAAAAAAAAAAAAAAAAAAAAAATGCTGGAGGTGTGGTGGTGCACAATATTTGGAGGCTGAGGCAGGAGGATCTTTGCAAGTTCAAGACCAGCCTGGGCTACAAAGTGAGCTCAATGACAGCCTGAACTGCATAGTGAGATCCTGTCTTACAAAGACAGAAACAAAAACAAAACAAAAGTATATATGAAAGGTTTCTGTTATTCTATGCAGAACTATGTAGATTTTTGGTGCATAGTCTTTTTGCTCTCTTAATACCTTAATATTAATTACTATTTTTTGGGGGGGTGTATCAGGGATCGAACTCACGACCTCACATCTGTACTTACTATTTTTGTACAGCACTTAATGTATTCTTTTTTTTTTTTAAATATTTTTTTTTGTCTTTTTCGTTTTTTTTTTATCGGTACCAGGGGTTAAACTCACGACTGCCTGCTTGCAAGCCGCTGAGCTAAATCCCCAGCCTCTCACTTAATGTATTCTTTTTTTTTTTTTTTTTGTCTTTTTCCTTTTTATCGGTACCAGGGATCAAACTCACGACTGCCTGCTTGCAAGGCAGGCGCTTATGCCGCTGAGCTAAATCTCCAGCCCCACTTAATGTATTCTTATGAACTACCTCAACCTAAGATTATGGACACATGCAAAAAAAAAAAAAAAAAAGAAAAAGAAAAAAGTATGGTCTTGACAAAGCTGGAAATAATGCCTCTTTGTATTACATATACTTCAAATCTCATTATTTGTGGGGTAGGGTTCTCAGAATTTCTATCAATAGTGGAGAAAAATTAGCTATAGATGAGATTCTGCTTATGTTTAGACTAACCAATTAATAGCTCAAAATGTAAAGGGATGAAATTGTTTCTACACAATTCAACAGTGTTCCAAAACAAAGCTCAAGAATATATATATGAGTAAAAAATATACAACATTCAAAAATGTAAATTTCCTACTGTCAATCAAAGATTATTATTATGGTTTATATCTAGATGTCTCATGCTCATAGGCAGGGTACGTGGGAGGTAACTGGATCATGGGACATGATACTCATGAGTGGATTACTGCAGTTATGAGTTTATAGTTAAATGTGATTTGGGAGAAGAAACTTGATTGGAGGAGGTGGGTCACTAAGACATGGCCTGAAAGGCTGTATCTTCCTCCCCCTTGATCCCTCCATCTTCTGCGTCAGGCAATGAACTGTGTCTCTTCTGCTATGCCTTTCTGTCATGTTGTCTTGCCTTGGAACAAGCAGATTATAGAGCAAAACTTCTACAAATTATGAGCCAAAACAAACCTTTACTGCTTTAATCATGTGGGTGCCGGGTATTTTGTCCCAGCAATGAGAAAGATACTAGGACAATTATCAATAATACAAAGAAACAGGAAAATACAACCTATAAATGGGGGGCGGGGGGAATCAACCCCTGAAACTGTCCTAGAACAGATACAAAGGTTAAATCCATAAGATGGAAACATTCAAGGTTGTATAAATTTTCCACATCTTCTAGAAGTTAGGTTAAGAAATAGGAAACAAAAAGTATTCATACTTCTTAACAATAGGAACTAAAATGCTTGAAATTATATACTAGATGCTATTACTAGCAGTTTAAAAATGGAAGAAAAGACTGAAAAAATAATCATAAACTATCCAAAAATAATAACATAGGAAAAATAATAACAAAAATGTGAGACATGAGAGAAATGTGGAATAAATTTAAGTGTCCCTTACATGTAAGTACAATTATAGTAACTGAAAATGTAACACAAAAACTTCCAAATGTAATGAAAACCATAAACTAAGAGTTCCAATAGGCTCACTGAACTGCAAGAGTGAGAAATAAGAAGAAAATTAAACAAAGGCACAGCATAATGAAACTACTTGAAACAAATGACAATCTTACAACAACCAGAGAAAAACTTATATGCAAAGGAAGAGTTGATAAAGACTTCTCATCAAAAACAATGTGAGCAAGACAGTAAGTGAGGATAGTATCTTCAAAACTCAGAAGTTTTTACTCTAGAATTCAACATCTGATGAAAATATTTCAAAAAACAATGAAGGCTATTTCAAATGTATAAAAGACAAAGGAACATCACCAGTACATTTGTGCTATAAGAAATTTTTAAAGAAAAAAATATCAGGAAAAATATGCATCTACATAAAGCAGTAAGACAGCGTAAATGGTTACTACACACATTAATACAAAGATTACTTTATTATGATTTAAATATCTTTAAAATAAAATTAGCTGCTTATACAGAAATAACATCTTAAGGTTTATAACAAATATTCATAAACAACATAAAAGCAGGGAGAGAAAAGTAATTCTAACACTGACATTAAATGTGATAAAATAATTTCATAATAGACTTAATTTATGTAAGTTAAAGATGTATACTTGAAGGTAGACATGTTATGTTTAAAGATATGTCTTTTTTATTAAAAAACTTAAAAGAAAGAAGATTAAGATAAAAGGGGACATAACAACATAATAACACAAATCAGAACAGAACAATTTAAGCAACATAGTGTTTCACCAGAAGATAACCCGACATAACAGTAGCTATCATAGTGTCTTTTTCCTTGAAATATTTGAGTATAACTTCGTACATTATAGCATCAAACACAACATGACAGTGTAAAACCATTCAAGAGAATGAAAGTATTACAGGGTATTTAGAACCAACTAACAGAAAATGAACAATAGTTTCTATATTATCTCCTTGTCTATAAAAAACTTTGTTTATACTATCACATATAATAAAATCCAGTAAGACACAACATGATAAACCAATGGAGACAGAAAAACAAAAGCTTCATGGGACTTCAAACTAATATGATACTATATCAGCACTAGCTATTATATTGTTTTGTTTTCTTCAAAATAACTGTTCATATCATCACAGACAATAAAATCAAACAACCCAGAATAGAACCATTCCAATTAATGAAAACATTATAAGGCTTCAAAGCAATATAATGGGGAATAATGTTTACCGCATACTTTTATGGATTCTTATCATTTCACTTATGAGTATGGTCTCAAGCTGCACACATTTTTAAATAAATATCTCAATGTGATCATCATTCTTTATAGCTGAGTAGTACTCCATTGTATCCATTCCTCAGTTGATGGACACTTAGGTTGTTTCCAAGATCTGGCTATTACAAACTGTGCAGCTATAAACATGGGTGCACATATATCACTGTGGTATGATGTTTTCAGTTTTTCTGAGAATATAGAATAGCTGGAACAAATTGGACTTCCAATCCCAGCTTCCTGAGAAATCTCCAGACTGACCTCCAACAGTGTAGGAGAGTTCCTTTTTCCCCTCAGCCTCTCCAGCATTTGTTGTTGGTTTTCTTGATCCTGGTCATTCTTTCAGGAGTGAGACGGAATCTCAATGTGGTTTTAATTTGCATTTCTCTAATGACCAATGATGATGAACATTTTTTCAAGTATTTATTTGCCATTTGTATTTCTTCATCTGAGAATTGTGTATTCATCTCAGATGCCCAATTTTGGATTGGATCTTTGAATTTGGGGAGTCTGATTTTTTAAAATTCTTTATATGTTTTAGACAGAAGTCCTTTGTTTGAGGATCAGCTCACTAACATTTTTTTCCCAGTTTGTGCGTCTTCTTTTCACTATGCTGGAGATTTCTTTTGACATGCAGAAACTTTTTAATAAGATGCGATCACAGTTATTGATTCTGGGAAGTATTTCCCGTGCGGTTTGATTCCTGTTCAGGAATTTCTACCTACCCCTACGTCTTCAAGGGTTTTATCCAGTTTGTCTTCCAATAGATTTAGTGTTTGTTTTAATATTCAGATCTTTGATCCATTTAGATTTTAATTTAGTACATGGTGACAGGCATGGGTCTAGCTTTAGTTTTCGGCATGTGACGAGCCAGGTTTTCCAACACAATTTATTAAAGATGCTGTCTTTTTTCCACTGAACATGTTTGGCCCCTTTATCAAAAATAAGGTGGTTGAGTGTGTTTGTAGTTGTGGTTGTATCTTCTAATCTATTCCATTGATCTTTGGCTCTGTTTTTATTCCAGTACCATGTTGATTTTACTACAGTTGCTTTATAGTATAACTTGAAGTCAGGGATTGTGATGCCTCCTGGCTTGCAAAGTTTGCTGCTTAGAACAGTCTTTGCTACTCTAGGTCTCTTCTGGTTCCAGATGAATTTGA